ACATGGACTTTCTTCACTCACTAGATTTTAAAACTCACCAGAAAAATACCCTTGCAGAATGGAAGGTGTAAGCTGAGCATCAGTAGGATATGATGGACAGCTGCATTAATGCAACATCAGGTGATTGGCAATTGCCCTAACTGGACTCTTCAAACTTTAAGTTCTAATCACTGTCATTTTTCACAGTGCTCTGCAAGCTGATTCGGGGCAGCTCTTGGCAGTGCATCCCATCCCTTGTTTTAATCTGCCCTGGTGTTTCTATTGGAGCTTTTCCCCAGCACATCATTCAGACTCTTACATTTTGGTCCAACATGCACCAAAACCAAACTTTCATTGTTTCTTGTCTGGTTCGAATTTAAGAGGATGAACTCGTGCTGGTTTAAGTTAATTCCACTTCATTTCTTATATTCTTTTCCCATTGGGACACATCAGCTTTTCTGGCTGTTCTGAAAGTAGCATTTGGCAAAAGTCATAAACCCTTCTTAATCTATCAAAATGGCACTGAAATGGAAAAAGAGCACTGTTGCTAACAAAGGCTTGTGTATCTTTATCTGATCCCAGGAAAGCATCTTCTCTCTTCACCCCCCAGCACTGGGAAGCATGGGTCACACTTCCATAGTTTGCTGCCCCATCACAGTGGGTTTTGTTAACTGAACAAAACAGTTGAATCTCCTCCATGTCCCATTTTCATGGTTCTTTTGGAATACACGATCTCTCTGGTCCCATTGAGATCACCAGCTGGGGCAAAAATGTGCTCAATTTATGACTCACTCCTCCGTGCACTCGTGTAATAATCCTCAGATAAACTGATCAAGAGATTGCGCTGCTTAAAGACAGTGTTTATCTTTCCAAGCACTTAAGGCATTAAGTATCAGTACAAGAGGAAAATGAAATGTTGGCTGAGAGTGTTGAGAAACAAACACGAGCTGGAGCCTTAAGAGGTTTGGGGCAGGAGAGGCCAGCTAGCAGATTTATTGTTTCATCTGACAGGTTGTCACTTTTAAAAAAGCAAGATGAGGGTAACGCATTTTCTTGTGCTTTGAATGTAAGGTGTGCTACTCTGTACAGAGATTCTCTATCAGATCACTCCTCATCTGCATCCATTTTATCCCAGCAGCAATGCGATTCCGGATGCGTAAGGATTCTCCACCAGGTTTGCCTAAGTGTCTCAGAAAGATGGCACAGCTAGATGCAAGATGCTTCCTGCCAAACAGAGAGCTGAAAGGAAAAGGAAGTGCTTACTTCTGGCTTCATGTGTTTTTTGTGACTATTTGGGATGTTTTCCATCAGCCATGCAATTCCATCGAAACTGTAAAAATGTCACAATGTTGTAGAAAAGTCAAAACACTTCCACATAGAATATGATATCTGATGACATCCAGCACAAGGACATTGGAAACAGCGGCTTTTGGGGGTACTGCAGGGACTGATGATATATCATTCAAAAAATCTGAAGCCATTCCATTACAGAATTGCTTTTAGTGTGCAAAAGAGTACAGTGCTTCTCTCGGTCTCTACCTTCACTGCAAACACCCCTGAGAACTGCTGGATTTCTGACTTTGGCCATACATCTTCCCATGGAAACCAACGTCAGAATTAACTTCAGTGGGACGAGTTCCAACCCTTATTATTTTTAAAGCACGGTGCTAATATACTGACTGGAGCCTTGCCCTGGCTGCAATAAAACCTTGCTGAAATTGCCGAAGGGTTCAGCTGCTGCCTCAAACAGCTGCCTGGCTGTAATTTGCCAATAGGATGTATCACATCCTGATTACAGTTTCTGCTGAGTGATAAGCCAAAATTACAAGGCAGAAATGTGGCTAATCACGATAAAGGAGATCAGTCTATTCATCCACTGCCCGCATTTAATATTTGCAGAACAGATGCTGTTTGTTCCCCTTCAGCTGTATTTACATGGAAACACGATTTCATGCTGGAGATGTCTTAAGGTTAATGAAAAACCTTATTGGACATTTTGATGGTGGAGGGAGGAAAGGTGAAATATCTGAGAAGGTTTCTCTTCGTTTCCCAGCACGGACAAACTCACACAAATCTGTTGGTCCTTATAGCAAAGTGAGCTACTCCAGACCAGAAACAGATGTGGGGAAAGCTGGAGAGGTTCTGTTTTTAGCATATGGATTGCCAGTAGAGTTGCAAATCACACTAGCAAAGACCATACCCTATAGGGACCAAGGCCCCCATGAGTTGTGAATGGTCTTTTATAGCATTTATTCCTACCAAGTTCATCATGCTGCAATTAAAACACCTCTTTTTGTGTTTTTCCTCACTTGCCCATAGCCTTAGTTTAGGACTGTGTTAGCACCTTGCCCCCATCATAAGCCAGCAAGTTCCCCAAACTGTGACATTTTGAGGTGGAGGGGATCTAATTTAGTAGCTCAATAGAGAGGAGTTATATTGTTCTTTCAAAAGCCCATGGGTGCAGCCTGGGGAAATCAGGGAGATCTCCTGGCTGCTCCCAGCTCTGTGCTCAAGGAGCAGTGTGCCAGCAGCAAGCAGAACCACAGCCACCTTATCACACCTGGAGCACAGCTCCTGCACCGACAGCCACTAAACAATGTGGCCCTCTGTGCTGTGTGTTGTAACACACAAAATGTCACACAGCTCCTCTTCACCCTTCTCTGCAGCCCCTCCAGGGATGCTAAAGAACCACGAGGGCTCACAGTGGAGAGATTAGCTCACCCCAGGAGGCCGTAGAGCAGAGCCTGATTAACACCAGCCAGTAATCTGGCATTATGCTCTCTTTGGGACAGCACTATAAAAACCCAGGCAGAGCATGCCAGCCATTTCCACAGGCCAGTTTCCATGGGGTTGCCTGATTCTGCTGTTCTCTGTCTCAACCCCACTACTCCTCAGGGGCAGAATTTGCCCTTCAGTGTGCTTCAGCCACCCTGATTGACAGCAGCCCTGCTTGTTCCCCATGCTCAAGCCACAATATTGCCTTTTTTTCTATCCAGTGGCCTCCACGGCCTCCTATCCCCCTCTGGGGGCCAATCATTGACCCCCATCCCCTCCTATTATCTGCCCATACTGCATAAAAACCTCCCACCAGGGCCTGCTGAAAGTTATCTACCTCTGTGTTCATCAAGGAGGCGCTGGAGAATATTGTGCTCAGCTCACTGCTAGAAGTGAATGCTGCCTGGTATCCATAACCTGGGGGGAGGAATAGAAAATCCTTTGGTGATGCCAAATCTAAAGCAGCCTGTGCTGTCTCAGGCTGCTCCCCTCCAGGCACAGCCCCAGCTGCTGCCGGAGGCACCCCTGGCCCCAAGCCCTGGATATGGCACATATGGCACTGCAGGCTCCTGGAACCCAAAGCCTTTGTGTGGCAGAGAGTCTTTAAAACCAATGGAGAGGCTGCTAAAGCAAAAACAGGTTGCAAATGCTGACTGGAGGAGAAGCAAGGCACTTCACCTAAAAATGAAAAGGCAAATCCATGTCTCATAACTTCCAGGATGCAGCGTTATCAGCACAGTTCTGATAAGGGCCGTGAATTCTTTCTTGCATTCTTAATTATTAACAGGGAAGGATGATGCATGCAGGCACTGTGGGGAAGGAGCTTTTGTAGCCAAGAAGAGCAGAGCCCAGAGGAAGGTTTCAGCCTGCGGAGGAGGCTGTGAGTTCCCCAGGCCCATCACCCTGTGCTCGCTGAGCTGCTCCCATTGCAGGCTTGGGAAGGGTTTGACTTCCTACCAATAATCACTCTCTTGAGGAAAGTAAAAATTTTTTTGGTATTGGCAAAGAATCAGCAGCATTTTATAAGCAAAGCCATTTAATTTCTGCAGTTTAGTTTGCTCTTAGAGAAATCACTTGCAGAGAGGGAAGGGAACAGCAGATTCTTGAATGAGATTTTGCCCTGGTACTGCAAAGCAGCCACCTGGAGTGCATGCTCACATGCTCTGAGCGGGGCTGGGGCTGGGCATGCGCCCACAGCATTCTTAGTGACACAGCTAATCTTGCATTTGACTGCAGGTTTGACGAGTGTGGCCATGATTCTCTTGGCTGTCACTGTGCTGTCCTGGTGTCCTATCACAGATGAGTGATAGGAGCTCCTTTTCTTCCTCGTTTTTCTCTGAGGTATCTAATACTTCTTGTGCAATTGCTGAGCTCACAGTGTGATCTCGACCTTCCTGTGGTCACAATGGGACCGTGTGCATGAGAACACCCCAGAGACAATCCAGAGAGCAATGTGGGATCTGCGAGCTTGACTGGCTGAGGTAAATGGGATGGTTATCATGCAGGAATGCTCTGAACACCCATTGCAAAGTGAGGAGAAAACCCAGGGCAGGGGCAACTGGAGTGCCTCCCCTCCCAGCTCTATCAGCATTGGGCTGTCAGCCCTGGGCATGAATGGCCCCAACAAAGAAAACAAATCTTTGATAATCTGTAGAAATTCTCAGTTGTACCCCTCAATCTGTCACATAAAAGTTTATTGTGGCCACTGAAGCAGTGAGGCAAAGCCCCAGAGTGTCTCAGGCTCTCTGCAAAGCTCTTTCCCTTTCGTTATGCTTCTCTTTGCTGTCAGCTCTGTTAAAATAACCATTATTTCCCTTCTTTCAGTGCAAAGCTCAGTAAGGTTGGTCCAGGAATGGTAATACCCCATGGAAGCCCGTGCAGGAAACTTCCCAACTTCACTCCAAAAGTGTCATTCTTGCTCCCAAATCTGCTCCCAAGCTCTCTATGGTTATTTTACATGGGTGTGAAATTTTCTTTGACCTAATTACAATTCCCACTTGGCATTTTGGTGCTGGAAACGTAGGCACAGAGCTGCTGAACAGAAGTGTGTCAGATGTGCCACCTCTTTGCTTTCAGAGCAGGCAAGGGCTGTAGGCACCAGGATTGTTTTACATTTGAGCCAGTGTTTAATTCTCCCAATAGCACCGAGATTGCAAGAGCCCAGAGCTTTACACCGAGAATTAAGAGAGCTCCTAAATACAGAGTTGTTGTTGCAGGGAAGGTAGAATAACAACAGAGCCTCTGAGAACTGTTCTTGAAAAACATTTATTTCCATATGGGTTTATAGCGCTGACTTCCAAGCCTCAGTACAACAGTTTTCCCCCACACATGATTCTGGAGACCATTACCTTTGATGGAATAAAAGAAAGAAAGCCATACAGAGAAGCCCCCAAACCGACAGTTTGGTACCAAACAAACTGTGCCCAGGTCATCTGTGAGCCTGAGCTGTTGGGTGTCTCAGCCTGGCTGGGACAGAGCTCCATGCTCCATCCCTCAGTCACAGTGCAGGAGGAACTGCCTGCGGCCCCACATCGCTGAGGCTGTTGGGTTGAGCTGCAAAGATGGGCTCACGGGCAGAGAAGGCTGCGAGGATTCAGCGGCTGCCATTTATGCAGACGTTCAAAAGGAAATCTACGCGTTTCAGTTTCGCCTCCTGAGCCCCAGCGTTTGGAAAGTCAAATACAAACCCAGAGACCAAAGTACACAAAATAGTGAACAAATGTCCAGACATTTCTAAGCCCCCCCAGTTTACTGTGCCATGATACCTTCAGAAAAGAACAAAACCCCCACATTCGGATCGCGTTGGATCTTATTTTTAAGAGGGAGGGGTAGAGATGTAGCACGTAGCATAGCAACTGTCAAGCAGTGTTTAAGGCAAATTTATTCCCATTTATTAAGAGATGAAGGTTTGCTGTTTGTTCGCTTTGTTCTTTAAGCTGCTAGATCACTTCTGAGCTGGATGTTGAAGCTTAGACAATTTAATCAAAGTTGGAGTGCACTCAACTCGTGTTGACCTGAGCCTAGATCAGACAAAAATATCATTCCCAAAAGTGTCAGTGAGAAGCAATTAGAAAAAACAAAGAAAAGAATCCATGATCACAACTCCCCCAGAACTTTCTCCCTTCAGAGGTTGAGCCCAACTAAATAATACATACACACATGCATGCAGACAAAGAAGGACAGGATGGCAAGCTGCTACAAACACAGTGCTGAATATGGACCAAAGCAGAGCAAAACTTAAATTCCACAGATGCGAGAACATGGAAGGAGTTATGAGTTAAAAAATAAATGGGGGGAGAGGGTAGGAACAGAACCCCAGAGAGGAATGTTTGATGAGATGGAATGGAAAATAGAAGTCCGCTGTGTTCAAAGAAAGGGAGTTCTGAGGAGTGCACACAGAAAGCTGGGGGCTCAGCTGCCTCATCTCTCAGCTGTGTTAGTTTGCTGTGCCTTCCCCTCCCTTGGAGATCCGGGTGTTGGTGCCAGGAGGTTCCTGTGGTTACTCAGTCTGTGCATCATAATTAGCCCCCCCGGCCTTCTTCAGCTCGTTCTTGATGTAGTCCTCATCCAGCTCTTTGTGGTCGCTGATCACAAATTCTTTGGCAAAGTTCTGCAAGAGGTAAAGAAAAAACCTGTTAAATAGACGATGCTTGTCCAAGGGCTTGTGTAAAGATGTCCCATGCCTGGAGGTGTTGGAAGACGGGCTGCATGAGCCCTGGGCAGCCAGCCCACGGCAGGGGCTTGGAGCTCAATGATCTGTAAGGTCCATTCCAACCCAAGCTATTCTACAATTCTGTGACTCAACACTGAGCAATTTTATGTGTCTGCTTCTACAGGCATCAGCTGCAAGAGCTAATCCTGCCCTGTGCAATAGCTTGTCCTAGCAAGAAGTGCACAGCAAGGTTAGGTCAAGTTCCCTAAGTAGTGTGGAAACTAATGAGCTGACAGCTGCCACAAACCTTCAGCATGGTCTTGGCCACGACACCAGTCCTATTGGTACCCCAGTGCTTTTTGGGAGCCCTTCTCCTAAAAAGAAAGCCAGCTGTACAGCACACTGCAGTGCCATAGCCCCGGATGGAGGAAGGATGCTTTGATTAAAGGCAGAGCAGCACGCAGATGGTACCAAGAGCACATAAGTCTACTTCTGTAGATTTACTGACCTCTCCTTTGAACTATCTAATTCACATCATGGCCAAAAACAAGATATTGTCCTAGAAAGGCTTTGTTAATAGGCTCCAGAGTGCTCTGTGGTCTAATGATCCCAGGTGACCTTTAAGGACACGCTCTGTTAATGCACCGTGTACTGCAGGGCAGCTCGCTGGCTGCTTGAAGGCTCTTTGTAACAATGTGAGCCAGCCAAGCCCTAGGCAGCATGCTGCTATGTGAAGCTGGGAACAGAGAAAACCTTTCTCAGAATGGATCTCTGTGACCAGGACTTCACAGTGCCTATAACAGAGAGAGTTTCTAATTGGTTTCAGACTCTCAGCCATGAGAGAGCTCTTTATTTGGTATCGTCTCGAGGGTCTCTGTTTAGGATTGCAGTTGGGTAAAGGAGGGGGTGGAAAAGGATGCAGCTTGAAAGAGCCTCAGCACTTCTTTCATGCAGTGGAAGAATGGAAGGGAGAGCAGAACAGCTCCCTCCCCATTAGACCCCATGGTGCACTGATCCTGTTTCACACCGTAGGAAATCCTCACTACTGCAGGGTTGATTAGAGAAAAAAAAAAAAAGGCTTATAGCAGCTAGGAGGAGCCTTGTCTGTTCTGCTTCAGCTTGTGTTCAGCTTTTCTGGTGTGAGGATGGACAGATGTTACAGGCACTCATCCATGTCTTAGCAGAGTTCAGGGAAATGGGAAATAAAGTGTTTATTTAGGAAAAAAAAAACATGTATGCGACTACATGGCTTCACTGCTAGCTTGACTTCAGTGACAACTGAGTCAGGCCCATAACCCTTCTGAGAAGGGTTCCATGAAAAACATATTTTATAAAGCAGGGAGGGTTTCCTTTAATGCCCAGTCTGCAGAATTAAGCTGTATCTGAAATTAGGCTGCAAGTCCACTCATGTATGACCAGAGGAAAGCTATGTTACAGGCACCAGCAATTATAATTACTCAAACACTGGACACTTCTCAAGTGGACACTTACCCAGATGATTCCTAGGTGATACCCTATGGGTGTCAGTCACTATTTCATGTCAGAGCCACTGGGACACCACACCAGATTGGAATAGTTTCCCCCCAGCAGTTGGCCAGATGGGTTATGTTCCCAGCCACTCTTCAATATCCTCTTAGCTGACGGGGCCACCTCTTCTGCCAGATTTGTGCCCTCACAGAGCGATCTGGGTCATTGCTATAAATAACAGAAGTTTATTCCTTTCTATTTGCAGGTGCTGTCGGGGCTCCTTTGGTTCTTCACACTGGCTCTCCCCCACCACGGCGTCCCATCAAGCCTGGCCCCAAGGGAGAAGGTGCTTGTGGTGAGTTTACTGCCTAGCACTCCTCGTTCTGGTATCGTGCTTGACCTTTCTCCATCCACAGCCTCTCTCATTGCTCTGAACTGTCTGAGTTCTCTGGGGCTGAGCTTTGTGAAGATTTGCTCAGGGCACAAATCATAAGATGAAGGGAAGCATGTAAGTGTTCTAAGACTGTTGAAAGCATCTGATGACTCCTGTACCATCAGGGCAAGAAGACTGTGGCTCTCAAATTGAAGACCAAACACTTAGGGTCAACAGCAGCACTTTCCAGCCAAGGGCCATGTTACCCAGAGTTCACTCTTTTTTTTTTTTGTTGAAAATGCCAGAATAAAAAACAACTCCTGGCTGATTTAATCGGGTCTGATGTTAGCTGAACCAGGCAATGGTCTCTATTTGTCGTGACTGTCATCTGCAGTTATAAATAACTGATCACAGCAAACTGGCTCAGACAAAGCTCAAGAAAAGATTGGAGCTTTGAGTAGCTAGCAGCAATGCCAGCATTGATTCAGTCAGCTTTCTGCTGTGCCACCAGATCTTCCTTATGCCCTTAAGAGCTTCTTTCTCTTAGGGGTGGGGAAAGTCCGTGGTGTTTCTTCCCTCACACATGCCATTATCTAATTCCTCTCAAGTGAATTGCAGAATACTTGTAGCTGCCTAAGGCATGGTGCATAACTCTGATGCTTGAGCCCTCGCTATGCTGACAAGCATCTTCATTTCACCTCCTCTACTTCCTTTTCTTCATCCCCTACCCCCAAGCTTTTTACAACCACAGCAAGCCCTGCAAGTGAATCCCAGCCTTTGTGTTCACACCAGTCACCAGAAGCCTGCAGATAACTGAAACAATGACACCATTTATCACTCGCACAACATGCCAGTAACCACAGTGCTATGCTTTGCCTCTTAAATCATTGAATGCGACATAAAAAGTGCGATTTACACATGGCTCTTCAATATACCAACCTAGCACTTGCTTCCCTTTGTGCCTGAGTAGCAGAGGCTTACAGCTAAGCAGTGCAGTCTGCTGTGACATCCACGTGTGACACTATGGAGAGAAGGGGCTCTGACCATGCAGGCCAGGTCACAAAAGCCTGCATCCCTCCCTGGGATGTGCGAAATTTGTGCAGCAAGGTCGGTCCAGACTTTCTCTTCCAGACAACTTTAAGGAGGAAAACAAAAGGGTGGAGTAGATTTTCTGCCTAATCCAGGCTCTGAATGTTTAGCATATGGGGTCATAAAATTTCCCTGAGCTGGCCAAGGGAAAATCTGCCTGGTGCAGATGCTGTACCAAAAAGATCTGTGGAGGCCATTATAAATCCCAGCATGGGTAGGCCTGCAGCCAGGAGGAAAATCCTTGTATCGTCTATAGACACAGGGGTTCTTAGCAGTGAGTGATGGTGCCAGGTAGTCAAGCAGCTACCTGCTGTTTTTATTTACATTGGGCCTTGCTGTGGCCTCCACTGATGTTCAAAATCTTCAGATCCACTTAATGTCACTGCTCCCATCCATTGGGCATCTTGTTTTCAATGCATAAGGTACTGCTTCAGAGGAGTTGACACAGCCCATAGTCCAAGTTTCTTTTCCAGCATGGTGTGAGTCCTAGACCTGAGGCCATGTAGGAAAATGAGAAATGTGCTATGGCTGCAGCAAAGGTTTCTAGGAGGTGTTCAAGCAGGGCTTCCCTCAGAGCAAGGAGAGCCACAAGGTCACACACACTGCAATACAGCACCACTGCCCTCCACTCTGGCTGCACCCAACCTGATGCTGCAATCAGATAAGGGAGTCTAAGCCATCAGCAAAACTCCTCTCTTCCACTTTATACCTTGCCAACTTTTACACACATCACTTCCAGCCACTGGGAGAAGCCAGCTCTAACCTCTGGCAAACACATCTCACAGCAATGGAAACTGCATTTCAGCTGATCTGCAAATTCTTCCTACCCGTTCTGCATCCCACTGGGGAAGTCACAGGACTGTGTTTCAGATGTGGGGTGATGGGAGGCTGCTTAAAGAAGTTACTTCTGTTACTTATAAAGTCACCACCGTCTCTAGACCAGGAGTAGGAGTTCATGTACATCCATATCCACTTGGTAAGGTCATTATAATAAACCTGAAGAGGAAAACTGTCAAAAAGTACAATTCTGTTTGCCTTCCCAGCAGTACCACATATGAATTTGATTTTCTGATTGTAAAAAAAAAACAACAAAACTATTAAATCATTTTCTGTTTAAGTCACCATACTAACATAAGAAACCCAGTGCACATCCATGGATAGACCATTGGATATGGTCTATTTGCCCTTAGTGCAAAGACAATAACCCTGTAAGTGGGTCCTTCATCGTGGCAGAGCAGCATCAGTGCAGTGAGGGGCCCAGGAGGAAAGAGAAACAGGCAAGAAAGATCTGACCATGAGCTCCAGAGCAGGAATTCAGCAAACTTGTTGACATCACTGAAGTCGGGCAAATTCCTCACCAAAAATAATAATGAATAAAATGCCATGAATATTTGCTCACAGAAATGGAACTGTTATACTTTGAATATGATTTATGCAAATAATAGAGCACATGATTTTGTGGGGGTAGGAGTGCTGGAGAAAACAGAGAGGAGTAAAAAGTTATGGAAGGCAAACTGACAAAGGTTGGTCAGCCCCTTTGCTCCAACAGCTCTGCAGGGGAAATCAGTCCCATTGGGAAAAAGAGCTCCACACTGCCTAATGAAGGGTTAAAATCACCTGGTAGGAAGCGCAGTCCTGAAGGGAAACAAGTTTGTGGGGAGAAAGCAACACTCAGAGAAACAAAGTCTTGATTTCAGTTCTTCAGCCTTTCCATGCCAACCCTTCCATGGCAGCACTGCCACTCCCAGCCCTGCAACCATGGGGTCTGGGCTTGTCCTTACTCAAAGGAAAGCACCGTAATCTCATCCCTCTGCCTCTCCCCAGAGCGAATGAGGCTGTTTATTGGGAGGCCTGACTCTCCTGTACTTAAACCCACAGTTGCCAGGTTGGACTTTGCAGGAATTTTTATGGCTGAATTGCACCTCATGCTAGCAGGCGTTGATAACCACACTGAGCAGCTCACAACAGCCTTGAATTCTGGGCTCAGGCCAGCCTGTCCGTGTCTCCTGAGCTTCTGGGATAAAGGAGGTCATAACAACAGCCAGAGCAGAGGGAGTCTCCTATGCTAATGCTGAGCAGGCCGTGGCTTGTGCACATAAAGAAGGCAAAAGGCAGAGATGTCCTTGCTGCCAGGAACATAAAAGGTGAGTTTAAGACCAGTTTTGGATGATCTCCTTTGTTGCCAGGCAGAAAATATGCCCAGAGTCCTTCTGTTCAGCTGGTATCTGCTAGTATCTGTATGCAGCCTTGGCATGACAGCTAGTGGCTCTGTGTACTCAAACAAATGAAGCCCTTTAGCTGGAGTCATCCTGGGATTATTGTTTTGTCAAATAAGTTGCTTAGCTGGAAGTTTTGCTCCCCATCCTGCCCTTACTTCTGACTTTCTCGCAGCTGAACTGCTTGGACCAAGTCACAGGCTGGATCTGAGAAAATAAATGGCTGTGAAAAGTGCTACTCGGTGTTCCTTAAATGCAAAATGATTTTTTTCTGCAATTCAAAATAAATGCACTAAATGCACAGCCTTCTTTCCAGCAACATCAAAGAGGCAACAAGGACATCTCCAAATAAGTAAGATATGATTCTCAGCTAGTACTGTTCAGGGGAAATACAGTTATTTCTATCTGATGAGATCCATCCCTAGAATTTTATGGTTATTACAGCTAAAAATCAATTGTCCTTTCTTCCTGAGAGATCTCCTGGCAGCCTCCTCCATTGACCAGCAGCACCGCTCCCCAGCCACCTCCCACAGCCTTCCCAGCACCTGCTCCCCCATCCAGGGGAGGAATACAAAAGCAAGGGCAACCCAGTTCCTCTCCTTGCTTTGTAACATTGCATCCTTTTGCTCACGAGCCCCTAATCTACTCTTCAACTATTAATATCACTCAGGTTTTCCTTATGGCAGGTGCTTCTGGGAGATGGTTAATAATCACCATGTGTGAACTCTCCTTGTCCTACAGATGCAGCTCTGTGGGTTTTGCTTGCTGGGAGGTATTCAAGCTGACTCTCTCCCTTTGAGCCTTTTGGTGGAAGAACAATGTTTGCTGGCTTTCGTTCAGCTTTGAGCACAGCCCAGCCGCAGCTCATCAATGCGTCTGCAACATATCAGAGAATATAAAGCAGGCTCCTCTCACAGTGGTGCTTTGGTCGTGGATAAAAAGCTGCAGTTAGCTTTTGCAAATATTACAAGATGGCAAACGCCCTTCAAGTTTCACTTCTCAAACTGGAGATGTGTTGTTCTGTAAGCCCAGCCAGTTTCTCCCATAGATCACAGAACTGGAAGCTTATATCTGCTGTACAAAGAAGTCTCCTCACGAGCAGCCAGGGATGGTTCATGTTGCACTGGATTCTTAACTCACACGAGTTACTAATCAAACATGAAACAAGTGGAATTGCAAATAATACATAACAGGCCTAAGGCACAGATCTTAGAACAGAATTTGGGAATGCTACTCAGCCCAACAGAAATAAATTGTCTAAACATCTTTTAAAAATCTTGGTCTTAGTGACTCTACTATGAGTCATTCATTAGTACTCTATAATTTCCTCCCCAGTTGCAATAACAGTTTCAGCTGCTTCACATGAGCAGAAATTTGCTGTCCTGTCTCACAGGTATCAGTATGGAAGTTTCTTTTCAGAATGAGCCCCTCTGCATAGTTGTTCTTTCAGAAGATTTTGTTATATTGTTCATGCTTCCTATCTAAACATCCTCTGCATCACAGAAAACACCAATGAACTGAGGGGGCTTTTTTCTCATCCTCCATATGTTCCCACTGGAAGATATCTTTACATAATCAAGAGCAAAATAATTAAGGGAAATTATTGCAATATTCAGCTTGTTCTCCTGGTGCAGCAAGAATGACCAGTTTATAAGGAATTGAGCAGCTGGCCTTAGGTCTCATTGAAAGACCTAATCTTATTTTAAACACTTCTTCATAATACGTGTGCTGAACATGAGCATCTTCTCTGCCTTTCCAGCAGCAGCTCTCTGCACCCTTCCACCCTTCACTTCTCTGGTAGGTGTTTGCTTTCCCTCACTTTGACAGAGCTTGGGCACGTTGCTGGGGCATCCAATTCAAGCACAGTCCTTCCGAGCTGTGCACCAAGCACATTTCTCTTCTTCTCTGATACGGCCACAGTCAAACAGAAAACTATTCAAACCTAGTTAGTTATTAAAAGCCGTTGGTTAATTGGTACTTGCTAAGGACCTTAGACTCCATTTGATTGTGTCCATGAATTCATTGTACAGAGACAAAAGGCCTCAAGAGAAAAGTTTAAAAACGGACACAGATCTTTCTATTTAACTTTACCTGCTTAACTTAATAATGCTTTGTTCTCTACCATTTGATAGTATGTCATTTTCTTATCAAGGAAAGAGATAGGAAACTTCTTAATGCTAACACGGGGAAGCACATGTTTCCTCCTCTGGTAATAATTAAGATGTGTTTAAGTTCAAAGGTGCTTCTTTGTGCCTGAGTTCTCGAAGGGCAGATGTCAAGTCCTCTTAGTAAGAAGTCAGGCAATAAGAAATCGTCTTCTTTCTAAAGGATTAATCAATAAGATGAAGCATGACCCAATGCTTCCCCCTCTCTCACCTCCTGCTGATGCTGACAGAGCTAAAAGCAATGAGAACTGGCTGAGAAGAGTTACCTGTACTACTTCTTTGACCAGAGTCTTGTCGGTCCCGGTTTTGGCTCTCTGCAGGCCACTGACATCCTCTCCAATCCAGGTGATGAGGGCAAACTTGACTCGCTTGCTCATGGCATCACCGGTGGTGAATCGGACAAAGCCAAACAATCGAACATCATCTGGAGGGACAAAGCAACAGAAATAAGGTGATTAAAACCAGAAACATCCCCTCCTCACTGTTTTCTTCAGTAAGATTATTGCTCACAGATTAAAGACCAAAGACCAAGCCAGAGCACTGATACTGCACTATGACAGCGTTGTGCTGGACTAACAGGGCAACACAGGGGCTCTGTTCACATGTCCTTTGCTGGCAAAGCACGACTGGGAAGAATCTGGTTTTGCCCATGCCTCACTAGTGAGCTGCTAATGAGTTTGGAAATGGCTAACATACAGTCAACAGGCAGTCTGAGAGCACAGAGCTCAGCCTGGTTACACATTCAGCCCAGAGCTAACCCAAGTTACACATTCAGCCTGATCATTCATCTCTAGGTCACTGCTCAAGAAGAGGAGAAAGTGATTTCCCAGCCCGTCTCTTTGAGGATAGCCAGATTAAGATCACATTTTATAAAATACACCCAGAAATTGGCCACTGTGCAAATCTGATCCTTTTCCTGCTTTCCCTTCAGCAACATTTCTGGCTCACTTGGAGTACGAGTTTGCAAGAAAAAGAGGAGGGTAAAAGAAGGAGCTAAAGCAAATCTGGAGCTGCTTCCCCAGATGTGCTTTTCTACTGTTTCCCAAGCCCTGTAGAGAAAGGCCTTGGATTTAAAAAATGTTCTGATCTTTGCTTTCCAGCCAGTTTCTGCCATATCAGACCAGATGAGAGTTATTTAGTCTGGCTCTATGTGTAAAAACCTTGTACACTCTTTGTCTGGAGGAGTTTGTACTTTCATTGCATAGCAGCTCATCCACTTAGACTGCTGGACTCCTGCACGATAACAGACACTTGGTAAGCATGTGACACCATCCATCCTATCCCAGCCTCAGTGGCACACAGGATGCTGGAGCCTTACCCAGGACTGTGCAGAGAAGCAGAGCAGATGGACAGTTGTGCAATCGTGCAATATATCTAATCATAGCTACTGCATCTGTTACAGAGAGCTCAAGACCTTTTTAATGAAGTGAGATGACTCAAAATAGAAGAACAGACTTGCAGTTTGAGAAGAATCATGCTCATTCTGGTTACACTTGTTGTGACCAGTTCGATGTGTTTTGTAGGTACTTGCTGTCTCAACTACTGCCAGGTGAGAACATGAACTCCAGGTGCAGTGACACGTGCCAAAATTCCATCCCTTAGGTCAGCATGCTCCAGGAAGAGTCATAAGAGCCCCGGGAGCTCCAGGCAATGGGGAAAAGCAGCTGAGAATTGCTCATCCCCAGAAGCTATGCTGCTAGGAAAAAAAAAAAAGGGGGATATTCTCTGAAAGCTGACAAATCTCAGATTCCTAAACACCGTGTTTTGCCAAAGTGTCAGTAAAGACAACTTCCATTTAATGAATGTTGTTAAGTTTTAAAGTCCAAAAGGACCCAAACACCTGTGTTCTCCTGTTTTGTTCTCTCTGTTCTTTGCCAGTGACAGAGGACTACTGGGGAAAGTTGGAAAACGTACATAGGGGTGTGTGAGCCTGCTGGAGCGTTTCAAACAAACTCCTTTAAAGATCTCAGATTTGAAATGAAGAAAAAGAGAGCTCTTACTCAGATGGATCTTCTGGCAGACTAAAAGAGCCATGTGCACAGATAGAGCAGGCAAACAAAACTTCCCTCTCAGAAGCCCAATTACCGGCAAGTGCACCAAACCTACGGTGAGACTCCTGCTCCTGACAGTAAATCCTCTTGCCAAGATTGATTAGAGCCGTAAATGAACCGACAGCCAGGAAATACCCAAGGTGAAGAGAGACAGCAAATCCCCAAACGTTGCTATTAACAGTTCTACGGAAAAAAGACTTTGCTTTCCCAGATCTGACGGGAAAGGAGGCCACGCTTTGCTAAGAATTGTACTGGGGTTCCTATGGGAACCCAGTGCTGGAAGGCACTTTAATGTCACCAAGTCCTGTCCCCTACAGCTCTGGAACTGTGTCACAGCCCTTCTCATGGATAATCACTTTCTACTCTGAGTGTGGAGGTTTTTTGATCCCTATTCTTCTACCAAAGTCTGTTACAGAGCCTGAAGCCTGCTTTGGAATCTACTCCTTCATAATAAAGATAATGTAAAAGTAGAATGGATGGGAAGAATCCAAAGTAGGGATCTATCTGTCAGTATGAACTCAGGGATCACTGGAAGCAGCAGGATTTGCTTCTCAATGGAGTTTCCCATCCTGTCTGAAAGCAGTTCGATCAGTGGCAGCACCCAGAGCCAAACCCAGCAGCTCCATGCAGGCTATCAGAACACCTGGACTCGGTGGCTGAACAACTACCTCATGGTGTTAGGTTCCAGTAAGTTTAATGAGCAACTGCAGGTTAGATGTGGGCTCTGAGTCACTGCCCTGCCTGAGGCAGGTTTCCAATGTATTCAGTACAGACTTCCAACGCACGATGCTTTAACTTAATGTGCCAGTGTGTGACTGCAGTGGCTGAGGAGCTCTTCAGCAGATGCAGATGAAGCCAAGAGGGAAAGTGAATGAGAGCCCTTAGCAATCAGCCTGTCTCCTTTCCCACCAGGACAACAAGGACAGATGCGGGCTGTCTTAGCATTGGCTCAGCCTGGTTATGTGACCCTCCTGATGAAAATCCCTGAGCAGAAGCAGTTGAGTTTCACAATGAGTCTGAAGCTTGTTCCGAGCGATAGCAGGATCAAAGCAGGAGTTCTTTTATGCTCCCAGATTTTCTCTTTCACAGTTAATGGGCTCTGCCCTTCCAGATCACCTCACTGTGCTGGGAGCCATTGGTGCCATCAGTGCTGGCTCTGCTCAGAACCTCAAGGCGTTAATATTCCTCCTCCCCACCCCCTCCTCACACACACAAAAAATGGAATTTTGCTGGATGTGGAGGGAATCCAACAAATCACAGACAGAAGGTTTCCTCTGCAAGAGGAAATCCTGCCTAACTCTACACAACCACCTTCCTCATCACTCAGCCATGAATTTCAGGGCAGAGAGAAGCAATTAAAGGATATTATTAATAGATCTGGGTAGAATGGAAATAGCAGCTTTATTTGAGACGATCTCACAAGTTACACACAGCAGAAATTAACCTTAATTCCTACTGATATCACTATTCCCTTCAGTGCAGTTGCACAGCAAGGCAAGAGGGCTATACAAACAATTAGAAGTGCAACAAATGCCTTAATGAACTTCAGTTATTGTTTTTCTCCAAGCACTTTACGAGGCAGGATTTCCCAAATACACTGATTAAACTGCCTTTGGCTGTAAACAAAGCTTGATGCGGAGCTGCAGAGATTTCCTTGATGGCATTCTCCTCTTTTTCATCCGCTCAAACCCTTTGTTTCAGCTCTACACAAAAATTCCCCGTTGGGTTAGAATGCACTGACTCATCAGTCAAAGCTATCAGCTGCAAGAAAGAAATCCACTCTCACATCATCATACAATCAAAGAATGGCCTGGGTTGAAAAGGACCACAATGACCATCTAGTTTCAACCCCCCTGCTATGTGCAGGGTCACCGCTGCCCAGAGCCACATCCAGCCTGGCCTTGAATGCATCCTGCGGCGCTGAATGGCCACACTCTTGGCTTTACCTGCCTGCTCCATCAGGGTGACACAGAGCATGCAGCCCACAGGAAGAGCTGCTTGTGTGTGCCCTCCCCAAGTGAGTTACTGACAGTGCACAACAGGCTGTGTGAAGCATTTATTTCGTTGGGTTTATATGAGATTAACCTGTCAGTTTTCCACCTCTCTGGCCACCCTTTCAGCCACGTGGCTGGTGGTGCAGACAAAACCCATCCCAACCTCTCAGCACGCTGGTTTTGTCCCTGTACTGAAGCCTGTGCATCTCTGTTGCAATACTGCCTTGCACCACGCAAGCACGTTCATTAAGTCATCCAAGACAAATACATCAGGTTTGACCACAGAACCACAGCTGGAGCACCATGTCTGTGGCATCCACAGGGGCTGAGCGGGGCACCCAGACACACGTGCATGAAGAAGCAGCTCCTCCTGCTCCCTCTGCTGTGCAGCATCCTGGTGGATAAGCCACTGCTGCCCGGGGACAGTGCCAGCCCTTCTCTGCCCCGCTGCCATGTGGGGGCAGGATGCATTGGCTTGCACTGAGCTTTGTCTCCTACCCTGAAGGAAGGAAGGGGTGCATTAATTCATCACCCCTGGTGCATTTTTACAGGTCTTTCCTGCAACCTAAGTGCCAATGCAATCTTGGTGATCTCTCTCTTAGATCTCAACTCCTAAATTTTATATACAGGCCAGTGTTTATAGGGCAACTATCATAAGCCCACATTTATACCAGAAGCTAGTTCCATTACTATTTTCTTCCTAATTTTCTGTGTCAACCAGGAACGATTTTATAGGGTATTTATTTCGGCCCAAAGATTTCCAGTTCTTCCTCGCACTGAATGCACAGTGTGTTTTTGGTCTGATCTTTTCAGACACATGAATAACGATCCCATTTCATGCTGTCATCGCAATTATTTATCTGCGCTGGGGCTTTCCAAAGAAAAGGCTCATTATTTCTTTTGTCAGAGATGCATTGAGAAACAAGTGCTCACATGTGGCACGGAGGAAACAGTCTTCCCATCTCTCTACTACTTAATGACGAGATGAAAAAAAAGAAATTAAAATAAACTACAGACAGAGGCCATGCAATGCTCTGCTGCTCCGTGGTGTGGGAAGTGAACCCAGCTGTCCGTGCAGTCAGGTATCACTGATGCACCCGAAAGTTGAAGCGGATGTTTCTGCCTGGTGGTTTACATTGGTACCTCAGTTACAAGTCATCCTGCTGTTCTCAGCAACAGCAACGCCAGCCCAATGATGAAACTTAAGAAACAACAAAACCCAGAAGCCTTAACATCCTTCTGTACAATAACTTTCAACTCTTATCTGGCTTTCTGATTTCCAATTCACCAGCTCAGCATTTTGCCTAAGTGAACTCATGTCCATGTACTACTGAACACCAAATTAAAGCTATGCCTGGACCCAAGCCATCTGCACAGGGAAAAGCTGTAACTGTGAAGTCAAATGGATCGAAAGCCCTGAATTAAGTCCTTGTTTAGTGCCGAGGTAATCTGTGCTGCTAAACCCAACCAAAACAGTTCTCAGCCAGAAGACACAGGGGGTGTCTACACTGTGTTTAATGACCCTGACGCAATTAATGCCCTTAACTTATGGTCTCCAGACTCTTTGGGTCAGCCAAAGGCCAGTGCAGTCACGTAGGCTGGTCATTACACAGGACTGCAGGAGGAAGTGCCATCAGCAGCCACCTCTAATCTCCTAATAAGGACTTGACTGTGTCAGTGGTTTAAACCAGCCTGATGGCTTTAGTTCAGAAAAGGCTGGAGAGGTGCTCACACCTCTTGGGCTGCCTTTGGAGGACAGAGAAGACTAAAGCAGTGCCTACAGCCTCACAGCCCAAGTGTCTCTGTCATCTTGTGGCCTCATACAGACCTTGCCAACAACAGTGACTGATAGGCAAAGGTCCAAGGATGAGGCTGTGCTTGCAGCACAGGTGTCACACTGGGATCTTAAACAGAAGGGCACTGAAAATGCTTCAAGTATGAAAATACTTTACGTACGCAGCACTTTAAAGTTTTCTGCCAGTACAAAAAGCTTAGGAAAATACAGCCCCCACCCCAGGACATGTAGCATGGTTCCCATGTGCAACACATATCTGAGAGTAGAGCAGGATGAGCCCCGTGGCTGTTGAACCCCATCTGCACTGCCTTCCTTCAGCAGCAAAACACGGGGCTCTGCAGGGCTGGCTCCTAACGTGGTCATTTTCATCTGCTACTCTATTTAAAAGAAGCAATTTCAAGCAAATTCTTACTTTTTCCTTTGTCCTCAGCCTCTCTAATTCCCTGAGGAGGTTTACAGACTCAGTCATGGGCTGCGTGAAAAGTGGGAAGAAGCACTGCTACCAACAAACCCCTCCGGCACCTCCCAGGTTCTGCCACCACACAAGGCAGACATCCACCATGGACAAATGTCCTCCAGACTGGTACAAAAGGCCACCCTGGTCTCAGTGCCATATGAATTAGCACTCTTGATGACATTTTGCACGCTGAGCGTTTCCAGCTCACGCTCTCACCTTCAACCACCAAATTATGCTCAGCTTCTACCCAAGGCAGCTGCAGCACTTTGTGGCTTTGGGGCAGTGTTCTTCATAAAACAGGAATTTGAAACAAGGAAGGAAGTTCATTCTAATGTCAGGGTTTTTTTAATCCTTTCATCGTGTTTTCTGAAGCTGTTTGCATCAGGCAGCTCTTCTCTCCTCCAGCAAAACACAGAAGGAGCTGAGGTAGCACCAGGAGGGAAGAGATGCAGCAATAGGAGGGAATCATATCTAGCAGCTCTTCCCAGCCCTTCCTACTCTTTCTTAGTGACTTTGTTCCAGTTAAAAATATTTTCCAACCAGCTCTTCTTCATAGTAATATTTGGCACCTTTCTTCCAGATGGGAAGGAAACTACAACTGCTGGTATGAGCCCTGTTCTCAATCTAGTGGTCCAGACAAAGGGTGGCTGCACAGATGGAGGCACCAAAACCTGGTCTCGCCCTCTGCAAGTGCTGCACTTAAGTTGTGGGTGGAGGAAGATCCTTTTGGGTGCTCAGCCAGGAGCCTGGGACCTGAGCCTGCCTGCTTCTCCTGGCCTGCAGTGATTGTGCTCCAGAGAAGGTTTGGGAATAACCCCTTGCCTCTCATCTGCCAAGGAGCAGCCCTGCCAGGTGCATGAGAAAAGAGTGAAAGGAAGGGAACCCAGCTGCTGTACGGGGCTGAGCTGCACATCAAAGGCTAATGGGCCACCTCAACCCCACTGATGCCTTTCACTTAGCTCTTCCCATACCATGCTCATGCCTTAAACACGTGCAAATCCTTTTTGTAAAAACACTCCAGCAGTGGGGCCAGCTTGCCACTTTGCTGATATAAATCAAAGTTTCCATAAACTCTGTCTATTTTAATACCTTGTTTTTTAAAGGTTTGCCACATGCAAGCAATGGCAAGAAAACAAAACTGGCCGTATTCCAAAGTGTAATGTATGCCTCCATTAGTTGTTCTTCGCATCCAACCCAGCCTGGTCAGCGATTGCTCCCTGCCAAAGCCCCTCCTCCTGCTTATCCACACGATGTAAGTGTTCCCATGCTATGGCAGAGACAATGAGAACCATTCCTGTAGAGGGTACCAGTCCAGACAAAACATCAAAAATCAGTCCAGATAAAATACAGATATGAGCTCCTGAAAAACAAGGAGGGGAAATAAATGGGGAAGGTTCCTCTGCAAGCATCAGATGTCCAGAGACATTGGAGACACTCGGTTATTTCGGCCACAGGAGGAGACATAGAACACAGCACTGATGCTGGTGCTGTTGACCTTCCAAGAAAACAATGCTGAGATAACACTGGGCTGAACTTCAGAAGCACTGAGCCCTGGGTCCCCCTGCATGCTGGCAGCTCTTTTTTATCCTAATATTGCACATGAAGAGCTAGGTGGGAAGGAGATTTTGCCACATGCATCATCAGATCTTCTGACACCATCTAAAGGATGATTTTTGGTTTTGAGAATCTTCCCTGCAGAGCTCCCAGGAACAGCTGGAATTGAGTAGCTGTATTAATCCTGGTGAGACCCCGCTGCAAACGTCAGAGCAGAGCATTCTGATCAGCAACTGTGATGCAAAGGCTACAACATATTTTCTCTGATATTTTTTAAGTGACCAAACCCTGCCCACGTTTAAGTCACTGGAAATCCTTCTCTTTGACCCAGTGAATGCAGCCAAGCCTTGGGCAGGGAAAACCCAAGGAATAGGCACTGGCATTTCTATGGACGTGGGGCTCTGCACACCTGGAGGAGGGAGAGATTGTTCAGCACCCAACTCCTCTGCAGTACAAATATAACATAGAAACACAGACCTAATACTTGCTCTATAACTAGAGGAGGGAGGAAGCTTTGCCAGCAGTAGAGCAGCATTATCTACAGTTCATTACAAACGTTTCATACCAGTGTCGTTAAACAGCAGCCAAGCCAGGGAAGAAGCTGTCCCACATCCCCCAGAAGTTATTTGGAGCAAAATCAAAGCTCGCTTTTGTAAAAGGCATCGAAAGTTGCGATCAGATGAAGTCAAATATCTGTCTGTTTATCTTTGCTTTTCCCTGGGCTTTGTTTCTCCCACGTTGATAATCCACATCCGACAGTGGAACAATCAGCTGCCACGTTTCAACCCGGAGCCCCACGGGTGGGTCGTGCAGTGCCACAGCCCTCTGTTCCCAGCGCATTGTTTGGGGCAGAACCACAGCTCAGATTTCACCTTCTGAAAAAATCTGAGCAAGCCTTCTACGTGAGGCTACATTAGCACCAGGAATGCGATTTGCAGGATACATTTATTGCAAAATAAGCTGCCTGAGTTCATTTTTAGGCACCAAAACGGAACGTTTTTTTGCTCGTCGGCAAGAGGTCACGCTTTGAAAACGCGGTGCCGAACAATGGGACTCCTGCTAATCAAACCTTTTGTCTTGGTGGTGGTGGAGAAGCAGTGAGAAATTGTGCAAAAGGGTGGAAAAAGCCCCAAGGATCTTAAGTCTGGGGGTGAAACAAAGGAGTGGTTGGACTATGGACTCCAGGGAGTTGTGCTTGATGGCAGCAGGAAACCCAACCGTGCAGGACAGGGGAAGCAGCACCAATTCCAATTCCCCCAAGTTTTCTCCCATTTCTCCCCCTTTATGTGCCAAAGCCATCGGGAAGGAGCTTACCTGTGCACTTCCTCTTGAAGGTTTCATAGTCTACCCCTTGGTCTCCGGGGACGATCGTAGAGCCGTTGTATTTAAACGTCACCCTTTGGGAAGGGGAAAAGAGAAGGGAGACGGTATTTAAAAGTCAGCCTTCGGGAAAGCAAAAGAGGAGAAGGGGAGGAACGTATTCCAAAAAACATCCCGGGGAAAAGGGGGAAGAAGAGCCGGGGAATAGAGAAGCATCGATGCCCGTCCAGGAGATGCCGGCACCGCGGTGCACCTACCAGTTCACCTCGGTGGCATCGTCCCTGACGAGGTTGTACGCCTCCCTGCACGCCTCCTTGTCGATTTTGGTGGCCATGGGGACGTTCGGGGGAGCGGGCCGGCGGCCGCGGAGCGGCGCGGAGATGGGGACCTCCGCCGCTGCTGCAGCCGCACCGCACCGCGCAGTGCCGAGCCGAGCCGAGCCGAGCCGTGCCGAGCCGAGCCGAGCCGAGCCGAGCCGAGCCCGCTGCCGCCACCGGCCCGCCCCCGCCGCGCCGCCGCTGCCAATGGCCCGCGCTGAGCCGGCCCTCGCCCGCCCCTCCTGGGGCCCGGGGGTGATGCAAGAGCCGGGGGGGGGATGCGGGGCTGGGCGGGCGGAGGGCAGGGGGGCTCGGGCCCGCCGCGGTGATGCGCGGAGCGGCCGCCGGTGTCCGTGTAGCCCCTGCGGGAGGGAGGAGGAGGAGAAGGAGGAGGAAGGAAGGAGGAGCGCCGCGCAAGATGGAGCAGCGGCGGGGCCCCGAGCCGGGCCGGGCGCACGGCAGGTAGCCGAGCGGGAGGCACGGAGCGGCGCGGTGCGCAGGTAGGAGAGGGGCTGCCCGCCCGTGCCGGGGGATGCCGGCAGTACCGCCGCGCTGTGCGGGATGCCGCAGCCGCCTCGGCGCGCTCCGGACCGCTCGGCACCGCGGTGAACGGGAGCCGGGCTTTGCTCGCTGCCGGCCGCGCGGGGGGACGGGGCCGCAGCGCTTCAGGTGCGGGCGGCGGGGCGGCTGTGAGCGGCTCGGCCCCATTCGGATGCGGAGATCTCCCCCTGCCGGGCTCCGCTTCCAGTGCTGGAAATAAACCCGTGCATCAGTCCGCTAAAGGGAGACGGCGATTTTGAGGCGCAGTGGTGAGGACTGACTGCACCGTGAACGCACAGAGGGTCCTTGGCGCAGCGCTCCTCAGCTTGGAATAAATCGCACCAGATGTTGTGGACCAGAGTCTTAAAAACCACTCCTTGCGCATCTCAGTGAGAATCCACCAAACCCGGGACGCTGGATTTTGCAATTTTAATAATAAAAGAAACCATTCAGTGATAAAAGCATCCCATCTCTTTCAAATTGATTACAATTTTTTTTTTTTTTTGCAGTTTTGGGGGATGTCGATTATTTTTCTATTCGATGTATTGTCCATATAGTCTGTAAATGGAAAGCCTGAACAGTTAAGAAACCTCATTGCCACTCAGCATTTCCAGAGACCTCAGGGAAGATCACCTGTGTTAACTGTGGGACACATCATTGAATGCCATACAGTGTGAAGCCCCAATCCTGCCAGCAGTTTCCTCCATCCTCTGGAATGACGTGAGCTTCGCTGTGGAGTTGGGGCCCCAAACATGAGCTTATTGCTGCAGTGCATTGCTGTGAGGAAGGTGATGTCATTGGGAACAGAGGAATCTTTGGGAAGGCAGCACAGGTGTAGGACACAGCATGTGGGTGCGTGGCACTCTGTACTGTAGGCTCTGGATGATGCTATAACCACACATTAATAGGTCTGAATTTCTATCGATTTCCTTTTGGAACACATTTTCTTTTCTTTTCTTTTTTTTTTTTTAAGCCTTTATGCTGACCATGAGCTGCTCATAAAAAATATGCTTTTTTCTTAGTCTGCATTCATCATCCATTGGCACTACTGCTATTTATACACGTTCCAGCTGGCTGTCCTTGTCTCTTCCTCAGCTCCCCGTGTTTCCTGGGGGAGCAGTAGGTGACCAAAATGGTATTTCCCATAGAAGGAGAAAAGCTCCATCTCTATCAGCTCTGCTATGACCCAGGAGCTGGAATGTTCCAATTGCATTCATTGGGTTGTATTCAACCCCTCATATTCAATGCTTCCTCATAGGACCGACCCCTTCCCTTTGCTTCTTTGCCTTTAACACATTTTCAGGGATTTTTTTCCTTCCTTTTAACGCACGGAGGGGGAAATACTCGCATTTCTGGCTCCAGCGAGCCCCGATACAGGAGTTTGGAAACTGCCACCTTCTGCACATGGGTGTTTTCCTGCTGGGCAGGAAGCCGTGTTGGACTGGGTATCTCAACACTCCGAACATCCGCAGGTCCGGCTCACAGCCGTAACACCCAGCCGCGCGTCCCGTGCGCCCGGCAGCACCGCCGGCATCCCGCAACGCCGGCACCGGAGCCGCGCTGACGTCTCCCCGGCCGGGATGGATCCCGCCCCTGCAGCACCCCGCCGCCATTTGCTCGCAACGCGGTCTCCCCGCCCGCTCCGGGGTTGGAGCAACCGAAGCTCTGCCTCCTGCCCGTCCCACTCCCGGCCCCGGCCTGCCCGGAGCGCCCTGCACAGCGCTCAGCGCCCGGCACGGCGCCCGGCCCCGCAGCGCCGCCCGCATTTGCTGGGCGAGCCATGGCCGCGCGGGGCGGCTGCGCGACGGCCGGCGGAGCGGGTTTGCCCCGCGGGAGCGCCGAGCCCTGGTAATTACCTCCTTCCTTCTCCCCTTCCCCTCGGCCCGGCGAGCCGAGCTGCCCCCGCTGCTCTCCTCCCCTCTGCGGGCCGTGGGAGCGGGGAGGCGCGGCTGCTGCTCCTCCCTGGGGCTCGTCCTGCCGCCGGGTTCCTCGGGTCGGGGTCGGCGCTGCTGGGGCTGCCCCGCCTGTGGGCGTCGGGGCCCGGAGCCTGGCGGTGTTCCCAAGGAAGGAGCGGTCCTTACCCCGGGCAGCTGCAGCGGGGACGGGCAGTGCGGGTAAGCGCTGTGTCATCAGTATTTCATGCACCGCTTTTCGGTTGTGCCCTATGGCGCCCAACTTGTTGACATGATGAGCGTTGACAGAGAGAGGAAGGAACATCCGCTACGAATGGATTATATCGGTGTATAACGTTGTCGTAGCGCTTTGAGGTGCGCTGCTGACCGCTTCTTTCTGCCTTTGTTCCAGAAGCTCCGCGGCTCGGCCCGCCATGGAGGGCACCAGGCAGACCAGGATTTGCCGCCCGCACAAAATCAGCGAGTCCTCGAAGGTCGGTTTGTGTTCTCTGCTGTGTGCCAATAAGTGAGGGGATCTCCTTTCCGTGCACTGCTTGGATGGAAAGTGAATATTCTGGGCTTTTAGAAGGATGTGTGAGAGCAGCGGTGTGCCTGCACACAAGTCTTTGATTTCAGAAACAAGTTGCTCTCTAATGGTATTTTTTTTTTTTTTAAAAGAAAAAAAGCAGCAGCAGCAAACGAAGATCTGCTCATCGTGACTCATAAGTTAAAAAAGAAACCCACACCATCACAGCAGTGTTTGCTTTGCACCAAAGCTTCACTCATTAAATGAGATTTATTTTGGGAGTTTTACGTATTGATCCATCTCACAAAATCAAAGCTAGGATTGCTTTTCAGATGTCACCTTCATTTTGTAGAAGATGAGAGCCTTGGTCCCACAGGCAGCTATTCTGCTGAACTCAGGGTTTCCTTAGGTTTGCAAAGGTAATTTTTTTTGGTATGAGATCTCTATCTGAAATAATCCATTGGCCCCAGTTGGGAATCTGCAGAAGGCCCTTTCAGGTGAGCTGAAGATGATGACCTCAGCTTTGTAAGCTGTTAACATCAGCACTAATCACTGCATTCGCTTTGTTTCATACCACTGACATTTGGCTCTGATGTGAGCACTGGGTTACAGGTGCTGCAGGCAATGAACCTTTCACTGCCAGCAGTTGCTACAATTTTCAGTGCCCAGATCTGTGTTATCAAATTGGAATGAGACAGATCTTGTGTCCTTCTGCATCCCTCAGGAGTCCAGGTGCTGCTTTAACAGTCTGCAGGAAGTTAATTAGATCTTTGAATCCAAAAAGTTAACATTCTAAAAGCTATAAAAACGAAAGATAAGAGAGAGAACGGGTCTTTAAATGCATCCCTAGCAATGCCATCTTCTCCTGGGTGCTGGACCTGCCTGCCATTTTCCTGGTTTATTCTGAATGTACTAATAATTCATCTTATTAAAAATCAATTAACTTGACAGCATTGTTTTGTTTTCTGGCTTAGACAGCAGCTGTCACTCTGTTAAACTTGGCGTTATGGATGACGCTGAAGCTGTCCTGGGGGATATAAATAGCTTGAGAAAGCTGCTTGTATTTATCATAAAATTTGTCTTGCTTTAGAAAAGTGCAGCTATCAGCTTATGTCATTTGCTCACTGTACGAATGGAAGTGTGAAGTAGCTGCAATATGGTAATATATTCTGAGTCCCTCCAGAGCCACACGTAATTTTATGCTTGGTTTCTGAAGTAGCAGCAGTTCGGATTTGAGCAGTACAAGTTGTGATGTGTGTTTGTGGTCAGGATTATGCTGCTGACTGTACAGCTGGTTAAGTCAATAGGAATCTCTGGCAACTCTTGCAGCCTGGTGTAATCTTGTTATGCACAGTGGTGCTATTAGGGAATATTAGAGAAATGATCAGCCACTTACAAAGACTTATAAAAACATACAAATATGTTTTGGGTTTAATCCGATAACTTTATCCTATGAGTCAGACTCAGAACAGGGTGATGTTTATTGTCTCTTGTCCTCTGTCCTTTGCCATAACTGCTACAAATGTGTGGTCTGTCCTTCACTGCTTTCATACTTCTTCCCACCTCCTCTACTCCCTGAACTCTGCTTGAGCATCTTCATTTCTCAGGCTAAGAAACATGAAGATAAAACTTTCTAAAGCTTAAAACCTGTATATTTTTTTCTGGTGCAGCTCTCGGGCAGTGTTACTGTTCCCTCAAAGTTACCATCTTAAGTTCAGGGAATATGATGAGGCAGAGTATTAGAAAACTGAAGAGTTTAGGCCCAGAAAACTTAGAGTTATCGAAGCCTCATCACTTGGGTTGGTTTAACTCTGTGTATTTGTGTGTAGAAAGTTACTCCAACAGAAGCTTTGTGGGAGCTTAGCCACCATTATTTAGACAAGATCATAAACAAAACCCAAGGGAAACCACTTGGCTGTCACTCTAAGACATCTGATAAAACTTCCTTGTAGTTGAAGTCTAAATAGAGAAGCAGACAAAGGTCTGGGTGTACTGCACTTCCCTCTGCCCCTGAGTGTCAACAATCACAGATTACTGAGAAACTCTCAAGTTTTGACATTTGGTGGGGATGTGAAAAGCAAATTCTTATATAAAAGTTAAATACTCTGGGTTTGTTTGGATCAGCTTCAAGGTGAGAAAGTTGAAGCTCTCAGGGAACAGTCGTGTCCCTTGCA